CGGTCACATGAGCAGCAAGCCACTCCCACAAAGGAGGCCACACCCACAGAGTAGGTTCGAACAATTTTTGAAACCCAGCATTGGTGTGCATGCACGGGGGTGGGAGGTTGTGGATAGGGGTGGGGGTAATATGTGCATGCACAGGGGGTGGGGGAGCACAGGGGTGTGGCACCCTCCCCCCATGGCCCATTTGTGGTGCCAGGAGGCTGCAGGGAGGCCTACTAAGCCCAAAACAGGAAGTGGGGGACTCACTCGCATACGTGGGGAGGATGAGGGAGTACGGGAGGCGTGCGTGCATGTGCAGGGGGTGGGGGAGTGTGTGTGGGTCACATGCACATGTATATGGGGCAGGGCGCGGAGAGCGTTACATGAGCATGGCATTATGGGTGTGGTCGCGCCACACACTGTCATGCACGCACACAATTTTAGCATGCGATAACAAACAGGTTAGCCATCACTGTCTTAACCACTATGCCAAACTGAGTCTACTCAGAATATCTTCCCAGCAAAATCTTCAAAGGTCATCTAATAAATGGAAGTTCTGGAAAGATCATCTGAGATGATAAATTTTTATCCAGGAAAAATAGATGAGTGAAACTCCATGCCATTAAAAAAAATAGAAATGTTCAGCAAGGAAAAGAAAAGGCTGGCTCAGCTCTGTCCAATATTAAATTTCACAGTAGGTAGAAATTAGAATCTGACTAGCTCCATTGAGATTGCTGAGAAACCCTACCTTTCAATCTATGATTCCCGAGCTATAGATATCGTGGAGACATTGAGGTTGACTTGAGGTTCAAGGCGAGGAACACAATCTTGCTTAACCCATAGCAGAGTGGGCTGGCAACTTCGTAGTGGAAAATGCTCAATGTTTTGACACACTTTTAATTTGGTTTTCCTATAGGGGATTTGGCATCTGAATACTTGAATTTACTTGGGTTACTTTTCATTTTTGAGAAATTAAAGATAAGGAATCAGGGAGTTAGAGGGAAATGTCTATATGGGTGAGGATTGGTTTTGCTTTACTTTGATCTCTATAACATCCAGGGTCACTGTAAATAGGAAGCCATATAATTTTAAATTATAAATATTTTTTGTAGTGTGTGCTGGATACAGCAGTAAAAGGTTTGTAATAGCTGGCAATCATATCAAGGGCCACATTCTGCTGACTCAGAATTAAGAGAGCAGAAAACTGATTTGTGTTATGATCCATGTATCTCCAATATTACAGCAACTGAATAACCTCAGTTATTTACTGCATGCAATACTAACTGACTATCCTGATGCAGATCTCAAGTGCCCAAATCCCCAGGCCTTGCAAACACAGAAGCAAACAGGGTCTGGAATCATTGAATACGTAGCAGTCCGTTGCAAAATCAGCGATGAGAGCTACCGCCACCCAGTGCTCTATATAGGCGGGACCATGCCCCTCAGTCCCACCCACAAAACCATCATCAGGTCATGTGATTAAAATTGAGATGCTTGGCAATTGGCTCATATTTATGACCATTGCTCTATCCCAAAGTCACGCGATCACCTTTTGTGACCTTCTGACAAGGAAAGTCAATGGGTAAGCAAGATTCACTCAACA